CGCAAATAAAAATTTTACTTTCGCGAAACTTTCGTGAACTCCATGTTTATCTTTCGCGGGGCCCATGTTGGCCAACAACACCTCTTATGAAGATTCGTTCACCACCTGCCAAATTACGCCAGAGAATCACGGATCACTTCTCGGTAGCCTTTTAAACATGCAGCTAGCATCACGGAATCCCTTCTCAGGACAGATTTTTTTTGCAAAGTTTACTGGCCCACCCCCTTCAACATGCACTTTGACTTTCGCTCGCTCTTTCGCATAACTTTCGCGGAACTTTCGCGAAAATATCCCTATTCACAGACCCCGGCCATCAGCAGGGGGTGCACAGAAGGAAAAGCGAAGACCAGGGGCCTTGGTGTTTGGCTCTCGCAAAGCGTCACTTTTGGAAACTTGGCTACTGCTACTCGCATTCTCTGGTGCCCTTTTCCTGCCGGACCCCGGGCGGCAGTGGGTGGCAGCCCTTTACATATAATGATTATAATATTATATATTCGAAAATTTGTTCGTTTTAGCACCTGAAGGAGTGAGATGCATTCAACTGGATACACTGCGTTTAGCAGGAAAAAATGCCAAGCTTCTTGTCATACAGCTTCTGGTCAGCAGGACTCTCCGCCTGCACGTTTTACTTACTGTGTACCAAGTCAAGCCCTTGAAGCCCTGTGATCCATGACCCATGTCACTGGCGGTCCCGCCTGCGTAGAAATTTCACTATACTTTGGCATGGCTTGATAGGGATCAAATCCAATTGACAAGTTGCAAGTGTAAGTTTGTGGCATGGCTTGCAGTTTGTATGAGTAGTCTAGAGTCTAGCTGGCAAAAGGGCAGCAGGACCAAGAGCAACTTGGGACTGTACAAGCTGTGCATGTTGTTTTTATCTTGTGTTTTACATCTACTATCATCTGCTCTTCTCCGAGCTGCGAAAACCGGGCCGGCAATCGTTCCAAGATCATCAAAAACAAATTATAACAAATTGGGGGGTTGGACGAACTATGACAGGTTGCTTGCAATGTAAGAAATCATCTGACATTGTCATGGAGTACAGACCGAACTTAGGAGTCACGAGGATCTCTGGTGTCCTGGTTTACGAAGACCTACGGTACCCCCCCAAGGGTACCTTCCCCCAAGAAAAATAAAGACATATTTTACTTTCAAAACCATGTTTTTGCCACTGCACCACAGGGAGAAAAAAACCGCATGCCAAGCTGTCAGCTTTACCTATCATAGTTCCAAGTAGCAAAGATCAGAGTAGAAGATCCGTCACAGCCACCCTGAAAGAGGGATGGTAGGATTACAGGAGTCCTTGATTAAAATGTCTCATCATCTTGGTTACAAGCCTGATCCCAGATCACGAAACCTGTGATAGGTAAACAAAGGAATGTGGCATACATCTCAACTGCTCAAGCCTTGCAATCTGTTCATTCTGCACTTTTGCAAGCATGATTCGAAAGTATGTACTAAAAGCAATAAATGCACGCATCTCCACCTAACTCATCTCCAGTCACAATCCACAGCAGGAACAACAATGAACAGCAGCTGCACTCAAATACACGAATAAAACCCGAAGTTGCAAGCTGCTGCATTCTGTCCACAGTGTCTTCGGAATCAATGTCTATCAATGTCTGCCACACATTGCCACATCAGATCTTCATTCCGTCATCGCCACCGATAAACGGCAGGTCAGGATGAAAAGGACTTTGATGTTTGGGAAGTCATCCCGCAAGACATCGCAAGACAATCTGTGAAAGCATGAGATGAGAAGCCAACTTGTGCTACTGCAAATAAGTGCAATCTACAATCTACACCATGGAAAGATCAGAGTAGAAAATCCGTCACGGCCACCCTGCAAGAGGGATGGTAGGATTACAGGAGTCCTTGATTAAAATGTCTCATCATCTTGGTTACAAGCCTGATCCCAGATCACGAAACCTGTGATAGGTAAACAAAGGAATGTGGCATACATCTCAACTGCTCAAGCCTTGCAATCTGTTCATTCTACACTTTTGCAAGCATGATTCGAAAGTATGTACTAAAAGCAATAAATGCACGCATCTCCACCTAACTCATCTCCAGTCACAATCCACAGCAGGAACAACAATGAACAGCAGCTGCACTCAAATACACGAATAAAACCCGAAGTTGCAAGCTGCTGCATTCTGTCCACAGTGTCTTCGGAATCAATGTCTATCAATGTCTGCCACACAGTGCCACATCAGATCTTCATTCCGTCATCGCCACCGATAAACGGCAGGTCAGGATGAAAAGGACTTTGATGTTTGGGAAGTCATCCCGCAAGACATCGCAAGACAATCTGTGAAAGCATGAGATGAGAAGCTAACTTGTGCTACTGCAAATAAGTGCAATCTACAATCTACACCATGGAAAAATCAGAGTAGAAAATCCGTCACGGCCACCCTGCAAGAGGGATGGTAGGATTAGAAGGACTTTGATTAAATTTGCTCATCATCTCATTGTGAGCTTGCAATTCAGTGCGTTTCGACATATTTTCAGACTCATTACAGGTAGAAATCAATTCGACACAACTTCAAACTCATGACAGGAAAAGGGCGTAAGATGGCGTAAGGCGTAAGGCTTCGCCAAGAAAAATATAGAACAATGCCCATGGCCGTGAATATCGTTGAATACTTGCATGAAGAAGTATCTCAAGTCAATATAACTCAAGAAGATACACATGCCGTCTAATCCCGTCATGAAGCTCAAACATGCTCAGACTAGCTCACATGTCTTGCCACCACAATCCACAGCAGGAACAACAATGAACAGCAGCTGCACTCAAATACACGAATAAAACCCGAAGTTGCAAGCTGCTGCATTCTGTCCACAGTGTCTTCGGAATCAATGTCTATCAATGTCTGCCACACATTGCCACATCAGATCTTCATTCCGTCATCGCCACCGATAAACGGCAGGTCAGGATGAAAAGGACTTTGATGTTTGGGAAGTCATCCCGCAAGACATCGCAAGACAATCTGTGAAAGCATGAGATGAGAAGCCAACTTGTGCTACTGCAAATAAGTGCAATCTACAATCTACACCATGGAAAGATCAGAGTAGAAAATCCGTCACGGCCACCCTGCAAGAGGGATGGTAGGATTAGAAGGACTTTGATTAAATTGCTCATCATCTCATTGTGAGCTTGCAATTCAGTGCGTTTCGACATATTTTCAGACTCATGACAGAAAAAGGATGGAAAAGGGATGAAAAGGGTAGAAAACAAGGCTTTGCCAAGAAAAGTAAACTCATGGCCTTCAATATCCTTGGATGCTTGAACATCTGGAAGTATCTCTCAACTCAAGAACAAACTCATGCCGAGTGCATGCAGCATCAGCATCATGCAGCTCAAAGATGCTCAGACTAGCTCACATGTCTTGCCACCACAATCCACAGCAGGAACAACAATGAACAGCAGCTGCACTCAAATACACGAATAAAACCCGAAGTTGCAAGCTGCTGCATTCTGTCCACAGTGTCTTCGGAATCAATGTCTATCAATGTCTGCCACACAGTGCCACATCAGATCTTCATTCCGTCATCGCCACCGATAAACGGCAGGTCAGGATGAAAAGGACTTTGATGTTTGGGAAGTCATCCCGCAAGACATCGCAAGACAATCTGTGAAAGCATGAGATGAGAAGCCAACTTGTGCTACTGCAAATAAGTGCAATCTACATTGTATACCATGGAAAAATCAGAGTAGAAAATCCGTCACGGCCACCCTGCAAGAGGGATGGTAGGATTAGAAGGACTCTCTCTGACTTCGCACAAAAGTCTTGTGCCGGAAAGACAGGCAAGATTAGAAGGACTTTGATTAAATTTGCTCATCATCTCATTGTGAGCTTGCAATTCCGTGCGATTCGACATATTTTCAGACTCATGACAGAAAAAGAATGGAAAAGGGATGAAAAGGGTAGAAAACAAGACTTTGCCAAGAAAAGTACACATGGCCTTCAATATCCTTGAATACTTGAACATCTGGAAGTATCTCAACTCAGGAACAAAACTCATGCCGAGTGCATGCAGCATCAGCATCATGCAGCTCAAACATGCTCAGACTAGCTCACATGTCTTGCCACCACAATCCACAGCAGGAACAACAATGAACAGCAGCTGCACTCAAATACACGAATAAAACCCGAAGTTGCAAGCTGCTGCATTCTGTCCACAGTGTCTTCGGAATCAATGTCTATCAATGTCTGCCACACAGTGCCACATCAGATCTTCATTCCGTCATCGCCACCGATAAACGGCAGGTCAGGATGAAAAGGACTTTGATGTTTGGGAAGTCATCCCGCAAGACATCGCAAGACAATCTGTGAAAGCATGAGATGAGAAGCCAACTTGTGCTACTGCAAATAAGTGCAATCTACATTGTACACCATGGAAAGATCAGAGTAGAAAATCCGTCACGGCCACCCTGCAAGAGAGATGGTAGGATTAGAAGGACTTTGATTAAATTTGCTCATCATCTCATTGTGAGCTTGCAATTCAGTGCGTTTCGACATATTTTCAGACTCATGACAGGAAAAGGATGGATAAGGGATGAAAAGGGTAGAAAACAAGGTTTTGCCAAGAACAGTACACATGGCCTTCAATATCCTTGAATACTTGAACATTTGGAAGTATCTCAACTCACGAACAAAACTCATGCCGAGTGCATGCAGCATCAGCATCATGCAGCTCAAACATGCTCAGACTAGCTCACATGTCTTGCCACCACAATCCGCAGCAGGACCAACAATGAACAGCAGCTGTACTCAAAAAATACATGTAAACCATTCTTCCTGCAGGTTATATATGATAAAATCCGAAGTTGCAAGCTGCTGCATTCTGTCCACAGTGTCTTCGGAATCAATGTCTATCAATGTCTGCCACATATTGCCACATCAGATCTTCATTCCGCCATCGCTACCAATACACGGCAGGTCAGGATGAAAAGGACTTTCATGTTTGGGAAGTGCACCTGTAAATTGTAAATGGTCTTTGTCCCCAGAACCTTTTTGATGCAGGCAGCAGGGCTGGCTTTCCAAGCTCCATTGAGCGAGTCAGCCAGCCGTCAACTTTGGATCTCTCAACAGATTTGCAAATGCAAATGCCTAAACTAAGTCCAGTGGCACCAGCCTAACAGTTGTTAGGATAGGAAAAACATGGCCACAGCTAAGAGATAGCTAAGAGGATATTCCCATGGGCCCTAACCCACGGCCAATGTTGTCTTCGACAACATGACAATTCTTGATCTCCAAAAAACGGCTCTAGAAATCATCTCCGGAATCGGAATATCTAACAAAATTCTAAATGATGTTGGAAAGCTCCAACATCGAAGACATGGGCTCCGAGTCCTACAAAACTGTTTGCTTCACATCATTGCTGCTGGACAGTCAAGCTTCTTGTGGATTTGCTGCACAAGTCGAGTAAGATATCGAACCCGCCTGTCCCGCAGTCACAATGTGTCACAATCCCATCAGGATTCTTCTGATTCTTCAAGCATCACAATGCATCACAGCATTTTTTCATCGGATCCTACTTGAGGCTCCTGATAGATCTGATAGTATCGACAGAGAAAATCCAATTGGATATGCTTGCTTCAAATCCATATCTAGTGGCAAGCAAGTTGCAAGCGGATCGAGATAATGTCCTTGGGTGAGATGTCTCTTGAAGTGAGCCAACACCGGATTTTTCTGGGTTCAACGGGCTTCAGGAATGTCCTCTATGTTGTTGTTTGCCATTCAATGCAACATCCAAAGATATAAAATCAGATAAAATCAGATAAAATCAGCTAAACAGCGCAATGCCACAAGTCAATCAACCGTTATCAGTTTCAAGTCGAGTAACTGTTTTCGAAACGGGCCCGCGGCACTTCATGAGACCTTCCACGGTTTCACGGAACCTCGCTGGGAAAACAATCAACAGCCTTCTGCCGTTATCTGCCGTTCAATATATCGACATATATCAAGGACAATTTGAAGACTTCCGTCTTCTTCAACTGCTGAATACTAGCACATATCAATTCCAATCATTGCGCTGTTCAGATATCCGCATCAGATCCACTCTTAGCTTGGAACGGAAGTTTGCCGGAAAGGTCTATGTCCAACACGTCAAAGAGCTCGAATTTGCTGGAGGTGTCCTGAAATCCAACGATTGTGAACAGCAAGGCCAAACAACAATCAACAAACATCAACAAACATACTCAAAGGATAGTGACACTCAAAGGAAGGTGACTGGAAAGTCTATTCGCTTGGCACCGAGGCGTATGCGATTTCCGCATCATCGAGGCTTTCCAGCAATTCATTGTTGTGGAGCAACCAGGAATTAAAAGTTCGCTTTGTGATGATGCAGCCTGAACCTCAGCAGACTCACACAACACACATGTCCGACCTGTCCCTTGCAACAAATGCGGATCTGCTTCTTTAGCTCAAAGGTTCAAAGGTCAATCATCAATGTGACGCAATCAACTGCCAAGATACGACCCATGGCTCTCTTGATCCTGAGGCAAAACACGTCCAGGGAGTCCAATGTCCAACACGTTTCATTGGCGTGAACTTTTGGGCATAATAATTATGCAGGTTGCATCTGCTTCTCCGGATTATTCATCTGTGTATATATATATACTGTATATATAATTAAAAATTATATGCATGACATGATACTTAATTACACATTATATTTCATCTTTGTTGTGAAAATGTGGAATCTGAACTTTGCCGTCAAAGAACTCGCATCAAATCTGACAAACACTTGATATACAATGTCTATACAATGCCACCATATATGCAACCCAAATGTCCGATTGCATCGGCCTTCAAAATCTTGCCTGCGCAGTCTCGGGTCTGCAGAATCAAAATCAAAGTAATCACTGCTATCCTTGGCATGCCTTCGAAGAAACTTGATTTACATTCTCATGCTGGCCATGAAAAATATAATATAACCCTATCCACAAATAGGTACGGTATATCAGGTATAGTTACTCATATCTTGAATGGTCATAATTAATCCCCAATAAATCCCAATAAATTAAGTATAAACCCAAAGATAACACATCAACATTTTTCAACGTGGGTATGTTACAAAAGGCTCATTTGGGGACAACTCTCAAACACATCTTTGAAATCAAACATGTCAACCATTGCAAACATGATTTCTGATTTAAGCTGAGCAACCCATCTGTGAATCGTGGTTCCTCTTCCAAATCATCCTCAATGTCCATGCGCCCGTAATGCAGTTGTTTGCAGGTTTTTTTCACTCTAACGCTGTGGCAGTCACCGCAAACCCTTCATGGTCCTCCAAATCCTGACGCTTGACAACGCCCGAGTTGAAACACATACCCTTCAATTTGTCTGCAAGGTTGAGTTCGGTCTTGTCTGCCGTCATTCCCAAGGTGTACTGTTTCTTTTTCACCTAGAGCGGTGCGTGACTGCAATAAATCACTAAGTCCATTTCATGCATCGCATCTGTCCTGCGATTTGATCTTTATTCATGCTGACGGACCCACAATCCAAAATCAAACACGCTCAACTATTTGTTGCAATATTCACACTGAGGTGGTGGCGCTACCATCATTAACGTTGTCAATGAACACCGCCATAATCCTGAATTTTGTAAAGTTTTAAAATGCACTTGTGATGCCGATATATATACAGAATTAAGGCAAAAGTAGAAGCATAGCAATGCTTGCAGCAGTCAGCGGTAGGTAGTGAGTGGTAGTAGTCAAAGGTAGCAGTCAGCAGCAGCAGCAGCAGCAGCAGTAGTAGTAGTAGTAGTACTAGTAGTAGCAGTAGTAGCAGTAGTAGCAGTAGTAGTAGTAGTAGTGGTAGAACTTTCAGGTGTACCAAGCCAACTGCAACACTCTTTGAAAGTGAGTCTGTCCAAAAAAACGTGGTCAACGCACGAAACAAACACAGTGAAAACAACTGCGCCCATGCAAACGGTGCTTTCGGAGATACAACCGCGGTCCATAATGTGATCACAACATCACAGCTCGGGACCAGCTCTAAAACGCAAGATTGCATCTTGGTCTTCCCCTAAGGACTTGAGTACTCTGCAAAGCAAAAAGTCTTGAGCAGGGATTGTCATGACTTCCATGGCCGAAATCAACGCTTAGCGTCAAATTGAAAATTCCGATCGTAATAAATAAAAACCTCAGCTTTCCAGAAACACAACGTGGCGGGTGGAAAAAACATGCAACAAAGAAGTTAGCGAACTGATTCAAAGCATCTCGGAGTCTCAAAGGTTGCAGAAAATTGTGGGTCTTTAAGGTCAGATTCCCAAAATCAGAGGCCTCTCGTGGCAATGACAAGCAAAGCAGAATCTGTTGCTGCCAAGCAGCACCAGGATGTACGCTGTCATCCAAATTCCTCCCACCTCTTTTCCTTGGTTTGGGCCCAGTGTCGAATCAATTGGCAACACTTTTTTCACCACATTATTGAACATAAAAGTCTGGTGCCAGTTCTGCACTTGCGTATAACATGCGTCAGATCATCTAGTACTTCTAGTGATTCTAGTACACTCGTGGTGCAGTGTTGGGCCATCCTATATGTAGATAATTGATGATAATTGTAGATATATGTAGACCATTGCAAAATCACGCAGATTTCTATCCAGCCCACGGACCAACCTTGGCCTCACATTTCTATTTTGTTTCAGGCGTCGGATCCGTTCTTGCAAGGGAGTGCCGTCATATGCAGAGCAACCATCTGTGAAGCAGCGGAAACTGGTGAACATGGCGGCCGGCCTGAGTAGAGAAATTGTGTTTGAAAATGAGGAGCCGAATACAGGGCATGGACATACATGGACATACGAGTACATGGCCAAATGTGGAGAACAAAATAAATCAATCGATTTTAGCTGATTTTGGGATCCATCCTGCCACTTTCGACCATGCACATGATATCAATGTGAATCATAGATGATCAAGCATCAGAACGGCTGGAAGCCTATCAGCTAAGTCGACCACACAGTGGAGAACTCTTCCTGAAAGGGAGACTTCGAGATGCAGCAGAGATGCAGCATCGAAATCATCGAATTCAAACGGTTTCTTTGAGTCTTGACTGCAAAGAAACCGCTTGCATTCTTTTTAACCGAGTTACATATTGAGACAAAAGGGTCTTGCAAACCACTCCAAGCAAGTAGATACCTTGCAGCTTACTTATTCAGAAAGTTTGAAGCGCTTGAAACTTTGCGTGGAGCTGGGTCCCAGCTACAGTAACAAGAATTCAGCGAAGTTGGTGCTCTCGGAAGGATTTCTTCGCCAAGTTGATTGGTTTGAACTAGTTTGAACCAGCAAATCAGTGAGTACAAACCGTGGCTCCTTAGCTTTGGCTGCAACATGCTGCAACCAAACTGCAAGCGCAAAGGAGGATGACTGCCCAGAACAGGACTCGTAGTCCTGTGAAAACGCCTTGTATCCTCAGTGCAAATGGCTGTGTCTGACAGTGTAGCATAGTGTAGCCCCAATTCCAATGGATCAACGATCATATTTCCCCATTAACTGGCTATTTTGTTGGGAAATTCAACTATCATATTCCCCATTCACTATTTTGGTGTGAATTCGTCATTAAATGGCCATCAACTATAAATATACGTCATATACCCCAATTTCAACCAAACCCAAACACAAGTTATCACAGTGACTGAGGCTGCTGCATGAGCTTGAGCTCTACGAAGATTTTGAACTTCAGCAATCGTACCTTTCTGCTGGCTGAACATGGCTGAACATTGTCTCAATTTTGTGGAGATCACTGCTGTATAGACACATCAGCTCAGCTTGCCATCGTCTCAGGCACGCACAATTCTTCCCAAGCGAGCCAACTTTAACATCTTCCTTGTTTGGACATGCTAAGATATGCTAAATCATCGGACTGTCCATTCCTGAACGAAAAAAACCTGTCTAGTTTCTCTGAATCTGAATGGTTTGGCTATCACTCTCCATGACTTTCAGGATCCTTTCACTTCTAAACTCCACAATCCATCACAACCTACCCTTTGCCAAGCTTCAAAGCGCCAAATCCAGCACCTCCCTCCGACTCCCCAGCGCGACAGTCTGTGGTGCCCAAGCCAGACGACGGCAGACTCATACCTACCGACATGCCAACCCTTCTGGCACTTCTGATTTTATTCAGTTTGCCGATGTCATCTCATCTCCCTCCAATATCTCAACTCAACCTTGCAATATCATGCAATATCTCTGAATATCTCAATAGAGGAATTCATCGATGTTGCCTTACTGTCAACTGCACGATTCGGTTGGAGCGCAAACACACAACTTCCGCAGATCTCCAGCTCCAAATTCAGTCGAGGAACACATTTCCAGGTATGCCAGGCCAACACAAAACAAATCAAACCATGACCAATACCAATCCGGACCACACAGAAATTCTCTGATGCTGAAGACTTTCCTCGCATGTTCAAACATGTTCAAACATGCACATCAAAAGTTGTCAAAAAGCACACCACAAACTCACCTTCTAGCAGTATTATATAGTAATAGTAGTATTACAGTAATTATAGTATTATTGTTCAATGAATTGGAATGACCCAGGTTTAAACATCGCTCTCAAAAATCAAACAAAACAGCTTGTTTTCATCAAGTCTCATCTTCACGATCACCTCCAGGGTGAAAAAGGCAGTGAAAAAAATCTCCAAGATCACCCAAACCTCCGCTCCGAAAAGCTGAAAACAAGGCAGGTTGAACAACGGTTGAACAGTTCGTCGTGGGATGAAGTCTGGAGACATACTCCAGTCTTTACTTCACTGAAAAATCCTGAGGCTTCATGATCTTCATGTGTAAAGCATGCATGAGTCAAAGGTTCCGTTCTAGGCCACGCACACACACACACAAAATCACACAAACACGCCCGCTTGAACAGTCAGCAAGGACAAGCTTCAAGCACTCTATCTATGTTCCACAAAATATAAGACGAAACTCTCTAGCTAGTATGTCAGTATCACTATGAATCTTGCTGATGTTCGGGTCTCACCCCATAGGTATGTATCCCTTGACTGGTTTTACTATGTTTCACTTAGACAGCCAAGTTCTCCAAGACATCTGTCAATTTATATAACTGTTCGGAGTTCGGATCACGCCGCTGGCTCAGTGCCATGTCAGCGCAAAACATCAAGGGTGTTTGGGACCCAGAGATCTGTGGCATACATATACCGACACGAGCGGCTCTAGTTAGAAGATTTGTGCCACCAGCATTTACAAAGGTTTGAAAACAACAGTTCTTTCGCAGGTACGTCTGAAAGCGTCCTCACTGATATTGTGAGCGTCCTCACTGATATGAACACTGCCACAGAAGCTCACTTCTGTCGGGTAGACAGTCCCCCTGCTGGAAGTACCAAAGAAGCTTCGAACTCTTATGGACAGAGCTTGACATACACACACACAAACCAAAGTTCAAACTGACCAACCTGGCCACGCTGGATTTCATAGCGTTGCCAGGTGTAAAACCTCCTGAGGGCTCTGCGGTGTGGTCTGGGCAGATATCCTTAGACCAAGAGTCAAATTCAGGACTAGTGGAACAAAGCACTGACAACCAGCCAATGGCCCAATGGCCAATGATGGCCAATGGCTGAATATGGTGGAATTGAAGCCACACCTGAATTAAAGTAGCCAGCTGTCCCTGTCAAAATTCCCTTTTGCATCCTGCTGCGAGCCCAACTCGGGCTCCAAGCAATCATACAGTAGCTCTTGGCTCTTGTGTGATCCAAACGTGCATGAACATCATTGAACATCATCACCTTATCTAGATTTATCTAGTATCTTGATGTATCTGTATCTTATGTTCTTTCTGTTTTAGGACGTTTTAGGACATGTGGTTGCCTCCCTAAGAAAACGTCCAGTCAACTCCCAGATCGATGTCGCGGTGAGACCCAGTCGATCTACAGCTTAGCGACAGCGCTGAGGCCAACCACCACAGCATTGATCGAAATGATGACGGCCTTGATTCAACGATGGGGGGTTCAGTCACCATGATGGTTTCTGGCTTGGAAATGACCCTAACTGGAGGTCTCCCAGTTCAGGAAACCACCGTATGCTTATAGGATGTTAGAAAGAGTGGTTGCGTCAAACAATTCTCAAGCAGTGGCCAACCAAGAAACTGGTATGACGTCGAGGAATATCAGTTGAGAAACCTGAGTGCGCTTGCATGCGCTTGCATTCTAAAAGAAAAGGCACCATGAAACGTTTGAGAAAACTCAAGCGAAGCGGTTAACGTCACCCCTCTGGAATAGAACAAGATTGGACATTGCTCTTCCAGCACTTTGACATCGCAACATGGAACGGCCAGTTTTTCCAGGATCAATCTGCTGTGTGACTGATTCTTCTGGATCATCCCCTGCTCGACTTGGATCTTTGGATGGAGCCGATGGAGCTTGTTCTGAGCCACCTTAAGGGGCAGAATTTCGAACTGTTTCGGATCGCGATGCTCAAATCATCGCGAGATCGCGATGCGCCATGATGCGCCAAGGTACCCGGAGCTGGGGTAATTCCAAAGGTCTGAAGCACCGCTTTGCCATTTCCATCTGTCCCAACAAAGCTATCCTGCCAACACTCATAGGAAACCAGGAAAACCATGGGGTATGACGGTAGAGTCTACTGAGTCTACTGAGTCTACTGAACGCGAGCTGCGAGCCCAGCCTCTCGCTTCAGGATGGAACCAGCCTTGCTGGCATAAAAACCACAGCCTTTGGGATGAATTGTTTCCAAATTTTCCAACATATTTGCTAACGCTAGACATCGCTAGACTGCCCAGTGACCACCGTAGCAGGCCCTACTTCTTCGCAGGTGACCACATCCTTTGAAATCTTTGAAGGAATGAACTCAGGCCGTTTCCTGACCAGATTTGTGTCAGGGTCGGGTAGAAGGATGCCAATGTCAATTTAATGTCAGAGCAGTTGTGTAGTGTTGCCTTATGCAAATTGCACAACCCTCCTTGTTTGACATGGTCTTTATAGTGCGGTCTTTTACTTATTCACGCTCCACAACATGCAGAAACACATCTTGCCTGGCATGCTGTGCCTGCGTCCACCTTGCAGCTTCAGCTCCCCACGACATTTCAGAAATTGTTCACAATGTCGTGCCAATTCTTGTGAGGATGTGATAACTTCCAACTACTCAAAATTCATTGCTGAGCCAAGGAACGCCTCTTTGGGGCCTAAATCCACACTGTTCTGCGATGGTGCGATCTTATTCAGCAGGTCCTGACAGATCAGCTTGGCCATTTGAAACCCACTGAACCGTTGGATAGATTGGATAGCCTTTGCGGGTTAACGATTAACATGTGTCAATGTGGGTTCATCCCAGCACCCCTCTAGGGATAGACAGAGGTTTGCATGTCAAGCAGCTGTTTCCGGAGTGTCAAGACTCGGAAACCTCAGATGTCCCATAGGGAGACACATCGCACATCATCACCGGGAACGGGTCGGAGGAGCAAATGCTGCCGGGTGGCTCACTCTGCTTCAACAAGTGTTGCAAACGGCTGTTCTCAGCCACAAGTCTTTCCTCAGATGGCCGGGAAACAAATCAAAAAAACCTTTGCATTGCAAACTAGTTTTTTTCCCCATAATCTTTCCGGATTACTTTTTTGAATTACTTGGGTCATTGTGGGTCTTTATATATGTCTTTATGGGATTTAGAGTATTTTAGAGCGACAAACGTTGAAAAGATGTTGGGTCTCAAACAGGGCAGGCGTCATACTCTTCTCCCAGAAAGTCCAATCTCTCTCGAACGGCTGGAAGCATTGCGCAGTGGCGCAGTGGCCCAGTGGCCCCGTTTTTGGGACAAGAAGACGGGGCCCAACCAAGCTCCATTAAATAAGCCATTGATCATTTTGGGTCATCCCAAGTGCAATCCCAAGTGCCATCTTCTGTCTGCCTGATGCACCACATGTGGAAATCGTTCCCCAATAAGGTCTCAAATGATTCTGGAATTGGGCCAAAACGGATTCAACGCACAGCATGTCTCACACCCCACGGGGTGAGCAAGTGCCTTTCCACACATTGCGGCTTACTCTTTGTGTCGGTTTGATGTTCAGCCGTCAGCGCTCTCGGCCTTTTTCATTGTGTTTCTTTTTTTTAATCAATGTGAGTGACATGTGTCTACGGATGCATCCAAGCCGAAACTTTGCTCCTCAGATTCAGAACTTTTTCTGGTTCAGGATGCTCTCTCCCGTGCCACTTGATGATCTGATGAAGTCCTCCTCTTTTGACCCTGGCCTGAGAGTCTTCAAATGGCGTCTCCTTGTGGCCATCCAAAGTCACAATCGCAGAGAGTTGTCCCGTCGATCTTTGGGCAACTTGGAACTCAGCACATCTGCCATCAGTTGGGACCAATTGCTTTAGGCCAATGTCCACGAAGCCGCTGTGGCAAAGGGAAGTCAACCTTTGGATCCTTTAGCAGCTTGTGATGGTATCCTTGGCATTCCAAATTGCAACATTCGCGCAGCTATATCCACACAACGTTGCGTAAGCATCGTAAGCAATAAATATATTTACCGTGATTTGAGATGATGTCATGTATGTGTAACGGCGTGTACACATATATACATATATTTCTCAATTACATATCTATCCTTAATGTTACTGGCGACATGTGGTTTATTTCAGCTGTTTGGCAGACTGAAGGTCAAACGGCCCTCAAAAGGCGTTCAAGACTGCGTTCAGAATGTTGCGCTTACAGTAAAAACAGTGTTCCGCCAGCAGAATTCACGTAATTTCCCGACAACTTTTTGGAAGTTAAGCCTTCAACTGCCTGACAAAGGCACTCTTCGGAAAATGTGATAAACAAAATCACCAGCCAGACCTTACCATTTTGTTTTTCACGTATTTCATATATTAGACATCTTAGACCCCGCTGCATCAATGGCAACCTTTCAATGCCATGACTCTTCCGCAGCTGCTCCAATGGCGTCTCATCTGAGGGACCATCTCCACCTGCCTGACAATACTAGTATGGTACCATGGTATCTACATAAATAATTTTGCCTGTATAGGTTAGTAGTGATAATGATGATGGCCACGATGACAACACGAATTGACATGTGAGACGTGTGAAGACAAATAAAACACTCGGACATGGGTCGCACATGTTTGCCCCAACCCAAATCTTCCTGGGCAGCCTATCATTTTGGATCAGCTTGGCTTGCTATGACCATCTGCTGCTAAGCTTCCGAGGCCCCCGGGGTCCGAGAAGTGTGTGACTTTCCGGTTCGGGCCTTGGCGAATATGTCAATCTCCATGTCCATCAAGGCCTTTCCCATCCTTTCCCCTTCCAAGCTCCTTTTCTGGATAATTAGGCTGTCTATTCGGGTCATTCAACACTTCCCAATGCTCAGCATTTGGAATCCTGGGTTTTCTGTGGCTGGGAGCCCGCACAAGCTTCGGAAGATTCTTGAGACTTACCCGAGGCTCCTTGTAGGTTCCAAGCCCCCACTGCGAAGGTACTTTAGGACTTTGGCAAAAACAGGATCTGCAACTCTTTTGATTTTCAAAACTTTTCCTGGTGTGTGAATTGAGGCTTCCCCAATCTTTCCAGGCTCTTTGAATCTCTTTGGCACATATTTGCCTACTTGCCTTATCATTTCTCTCTCCTTAGCAGGTGCTGCGGCTGAACTTCCGACCTTGGGCGAATGATCCGCGCTCCTTGTTGCACCTTGCAGGTAAACCTGCTCCTCCAGTCACATTCCTATTTTTTTTTTCTGGAGACCTCGACCAACAACATAAAACAATATAAAACATATTTTTACTCATTTTTACTTTTTAATCACTTGGTAGTGGAGTGGCACTAAGAACTTCACGTGCGGCAATGGTTTGTCATTGATCTCTTTGCGTCGCTTCGCCGCCCTCTCCTGCATGGCATAAACAGTGGTCACAATAGATACACAAACTCTGTACATCATCATGATGCTGAAGCAAGAGCACGCGCCACATGCCTCTGTTTCATCAAAAGAACGTCCCACTCTGGTGTCAGCCTGAGTCTCAATCAACTTGCAATTTCGCCAGTTACCATCTTTGTCATTGCCTGATGTTGCCTCGTAAAGGTCCATGTCTTGCCAAAGGCCTGGAACTGAGAGCAGAACTGCCAACCTGACATTTGCCTGCGTAATTGGTGCAGTGGCAGAGTCCCTGCGCAGCCTGCACGGCGTTACTGACACTGTGGTCATGGGGATTCAACCCCTCCAAATGTAACAACGCAACAACCCAACAACAAGGCCCACCAACAACTAAAAAGGGCCTAAGGCCTTATTCAAATTGACTAAACATCGGGGGGCACCTTTGGGGGATCCTGCACCCGTCGCCACAAACAGCCTGCGTGCCCCTGCTAGCAACTCAGCAGCTTCAGCACAAGCAACCTCGTTAAAATCGTTAAACCGCCACAGTGACACCTTTAAAAAACTGTTGACGGTTTGCCATCCACGACCTCTCCCTGTCAACTTCCTAACAGAACTTTTGATCAATTGATCTACAGAGTTAGACCGTCAATTCTATCTCATCTGCTTGACAAGACTATATCATGACGTACCACCTTTTGCAGTTGCACAAACATGATGTTATTTAAGAGCTCCTTACCTTTCCTCTGCAAACATATATAACTATCTATAATTCCACCTCAAAGTGATGGTTAACGCCCATGCCCCAAAACGATTCAAAAGGGGAAATGGACACAACTATATAAAAAAGTAAAAATAATGATAATAATAATAAAACTAACTATATACATTATATGTATATAATTCTGTACGTATTATAATGCATATAATATATATAATATCATATCTACTGTGACTTCGAAGCTGCTACGAGCAGCCGGATCTGTTTTCCACAACAGGAAGGGTCATCGGCCGGGGCTAGCTATTTGAGCGCCGAATTGGTGTACGCACGGCCCCACTTTGCCCTCTCGAGCAAAGAAACCCTGCGCCACATCTGTGTCTACCAGAATGGATGGTAAGCAATCATCGCACCAAAGTAGAGTCATTCGCTTCCATCTTCTTTGATAATTAATTGATGATAGCAGCCTGGAGAGAGCATGAATTAAAAGGCAAAACCCTAGCTCCAGCAAATCTTTCACAGGAATTGGGTAAGATGTAGGGAATCAAACACCCACCCAAAACAAAGCAAACATTCCGGGCGGCACCAGAAATATCTGTGCCTGTGAGGAAATGAAGCAGCCGCGTGGTGGCTGGGTAGTCCCAGCTTAAGGTTTTGATCGCCCATGCGACATCCCAGACTGCCAAACCATATGAATTTTTACCGAAAGCCCCCAGTGAACCCAAAGCAAAACCAAACAAAAAGCAACAAAAACACAAACAGAAACCAACCACAAGAAAGTGAGGAGGCACCCGGTACCAGCTATCTATTCCGCAAGTCTCTACACTGGCAAGCGGCCTTCATGGCTGAGCGAATTCTTCCAGCGATGCTTTCAATCCAGCCAGGATCTTGGGCACAATGGTGGCTGTAGACCTAGGGGGATTCCCTCTTCGGTGAACGTGACGAAACAACACTTTCAGCCTTTCCATGTCTTCCTTGGCAAGGCGGCTTTCAAACTCGGACCACTGATTGCACTCTTTCACACCTTCATAGGACCCAAGCGCGTGGAAAATGGCCATCTTTTCTGCTGGCGTCAATGGCTGGTCCTTCACTTGGTTCTGACCTTGGTCCTGGTTCTTTGGAGGCCCGGGCTTGTGGTCAGGTTGTGCTCTGGCTCCTGGAAACTTGCTGAGCTGTGCCAGCAGGTCTTGCTGTACGGCGGCCACTTTGCTTTCCATTTCTTGCATCAGTTTGTCCTTTTCAGCTGTAGCTTCCCTGGCTGCCTTCTCTGCCTGGAGCATCTGCAGTTCCTTTTCGAGTCGGTTTTCGCGGTCAGACTTCCCGCGCCGGGATTTCTTTTCTTTCTTCTTGCTGTGTCTGCGCCGTGAATGGGATGATGAGGAATCTGAAGATGACCAAGAATATTCTTGCGCCCATATGAGCTATTTTGGTGCCTGCGGCTGTGTTCCCTTTGCCTCTCCTGCTTCTGGGAGCTCTCACCTCTGTCGACCTCAATGCGAATCACTTGGGCTGGCTGGGTGTTGTGGGATGGCCTCCACTGGGACGCTGACCAGCCCCAGCTTCTTCCCTTCTGTTGGCCCCAGCCCATCGATTCTGCACTGGACATTGCGGAAAGAAACACTAAGAGCAGCCGGAGGCCAGCCATGGCAGACACGCTGACTACACTAGGTCGGCAAGCTAGACGGCAGCACGGACCTACTTTGTTCTGGGCTTAAAGGACCTCGTGACAAAGGCTTTTGAAAGCAGGTGAACATACAAACGCTCTGCAAAACCGGAGCTCTTCTGCAAAACTATCCTTCCACATACCAAAGATTATGCGTCTTAAACGTTGGCGGCCAAAATGTTGCCTAGCAAGGGCTACCAAGAAAAGGCCAAGGTCATGCTCTTTCTCCCTGGTTTTTAAACCTATTTGCCTGTGCCGGGCCAGTCGGCCCCACAAAAACGCACGAATACTGCTTTGCCGAACATCCCATGGGGGTGGGAAATCGAACAAGCTTTGTTTGATATCAAGTACAAGGCAGTCAAGGTCAAGAACAACATCAAGCCAATGCAACTTGCGGGATTGTGGGGCTGCATCAAATTTGACAGTGTACATGGCATGCGTCATGTCAACCAAACAACTGAAACAAAGCAGTTTGGAAATTATGACAACATCATCAATGTAACGCCGGGCAACGACGGCTTGGTGCCAACAGGGAGCAGAACAAGACAGTCCAAAGTTGAAGGGCCACTGCTGGACCCACATGTGCTCTTCCCATGCTAAGACTGCACTGGCAGCAATTCTGGAAAGTAAACCTCCTATTGGCAACCCGCTCATGCGGATGATGGTGCTCCCAAGGCTGCAAAAAGGGATGTACATGCAAGCCGCAAAGCAAAACAATAGATCACGGAAAAGGAAACAAACCAGTTTAGGAGAAGTAATGGCTGGATTACCTCCTAGGTACCCTTGAACTTTCTTTCGGCGGAGGATAGTCACTGAAGTGGTCTGAGACTTGCGCGCAACATCATGGAATATGTTAGCCATGCAATCAACTGCTGTTGAAGGCTGCACAACTTCAAAGAACTGGCCCGCGTCTGCAACGACACCGTTGAGCAAAGGCTTAACACACCCACATTTGCAGCACTGCAAGCCAAAGTCAATGTACTCAAGGTTACGGCAATCTTCTAACAAGCCTGAGGTGGCATGCTTCAAGCTTGAAACTTCGAAACCATGACCCCATTTCCTGAGAATGACATCACATGCACGACTAACTAGTCTCCATCGTTGCCGAAACGGCCACTTGCAATACGCCACAATTTTGCGACAACAGCTATGCCCTATTCTGGTACACAATCGTGCCCCAGTGCTGTAGCATTTACTTTTGATTGTGACGTACATGTATGGCACCCAAGCACATGGCAAGCCAACACCAAGCCAATCATGCAGACAATAGGGGACCAAAGTGCGAAGTACAAGTTGGATAAGCAAGGTTGCATCATGTGGCATCAAGCTGGACAAAGTCCAGGTTGTAGAGCACACGGTGTAACACAGCAAAAGTGCATGGTAACATGTCAAGTCAACTTTCCACATGCGTGCCTTGTCTTTGTCATCAGGGACGCGAACTATGGTTGTCCCGGACAACAACTCACCCGCAAAACTATCATATTGTGCTTTGGTAAGTATATCCCGCGCCAAGGAGGACTGAACGGCAACATGACTGGAGACACAAGAAGTGAGACCTGCCTGGGACGCTAGATGGCACCCTTTTGGCAAACGCGCTTGCTGGCACCATGTCTGGACAGCAAGGTCAACAACTTTGGTTTTCTCTTCTAGGGAAAGTCGCTTTTTGGCTTTCATGTTTCTGTCAACTTTCTGCAAACCATTTCCTTGGATGGCATGCGACAGTGATGCAGAATCCAACGACAAGGCACTTTGCAAACAAAAACTTCTGGCAGCCCGGCCGTGTGACAACAAATCCTTGAAGGTAGGACATTTCCCAACAAGAACTCGTGTCTTTTTCAAGACCCATGTCACCACATGCGGCGGCCATCTTGGCGATGACCGGGCTAAGGTAGCGACCAACGATTTGCAAGGACCGACAAGACAAGGTTCCGGCACAGTCACAACAAGCAATTTCTTGGAGGGAAGACCTTCAAACTTCATGCATTGCGAAGCACGGCGCAGGACCTGTCTGCGTCTGCCAGCTGTTTGCACAAGTCCCCCAAGTTTTTCAAGCTCAACACCAAGGAAATCACACTTCCATGCCGCACGCAAGCGATTCCAAGCAACACATGAGCCGCGTGTCCCTATCCACAGAACCATGAGACGGCGAACCTGAGGGGAATAAATGTTCACAGGACCACAGAAGCCACTGGAGAGGAACAATTGCCGCTGCAACTTCCGGTACGCCACTGAAAAGCTCTGCGACCAAGCTCCAACAAGCAATGGGTCAGGATTTGGGGGCCGCACTGCGAGGTTCCTAAGTTTGAGTTCCTTACAAAGTTCCCGATCTAAACGCATTGCACCAACATGGCAGGACCAGGTCGGATCAAGACATGGCAATTTTTTTGGCCGGCGTCGCCACTGTGGCGGTCTCATCCGGCGTTTCTTTGTTTGCCGTGCTGGAAAATTTGCAGGTCTGCGCGAGAAATTACCATTGGGCCGATACGCCTTAATGGCAAGAGACTCACGTGCCCGGATTTCGCATTCTGGCCCAGATCGGACCGGCAACCACATCATGGACACAAGTGGGATACGTCGTGCAAGACGGTACCTGTGGATGCACCCGTGTGTACACTGGGCTCTAGCTCTTAAAGTGAGGTGCTCAAACAAGCGACAGACCATGCCAGAAACTTGCGGACGGGACATGCGTGAAAACCTAGCAATGCCAAGGTATTGAAACCCACGACCAAACCAAGCATACATGCCAAAAGCATCGGGCGTACTCCCCTGAGTCACACAGTTTGTGGCCCAGGCAACGAGCTTCTGCACGTGCTTCAAATGCCCAAACAAAATGGCCGCCTGGTATTCAAGATCAAGCAAAGCAAGGACTTTTCTTGCAACAGCACAATGGGACGAAATCTGCAGCCACACCAAGGATTTTACAATGAACAAAGTGGCAACTAGTTCTTCCAAAACACGGTCTTGTCTCCGCCATTTATGATCAGGGGGAATCAAAAAGGTGAGTGCAGCAACTAAAGACCGATTGCAAAGGAGAATGAAATTGCCATGTCCCTGTTTCTTTGTCAAAACACAACCTGCATCAAGCCAAATCTTCTTTTTTAAGATCTCCCACGTTTCATGGTACACACATGGTGGCTGATTGATATGGAAGGGCAGCCCGAGGAACTGCGAGAAAACTTCATTAAGCGGATCAGCCCACACAGCACTCAGAAGCAGAACAAGCCCAAATTTGGAAACCAAATTGTACCAGTCTCCTCCGTACCGTGTGGTGAACAAGTACGCTAGCTCACTTGTTTGAAAAGGCATCAAGCAGATCCAAACGAAGCAACCTAGCCTTGAAGCGTTACACTGGCAACCGTTGTGATCGGCAAATTGCGTCAAACCGGAAATGCCAGGGCTGTCTCAACTGTGACTTCGAAGCTGCTACGAGCAGCCGGATCTGTTTTCCACAACAGGAAGGGTCATCGGCCGGGGCTAGCTATTTGAGCGCCGAATTGGTGTACGCACGGCCCCACTTTGCCCTCTCGAGCAAAGAAACCCTGCGCCACATCTGTGTCTACCAGAATGGATGGTAAGCAGTCATCGCACCAAAGTAGAGTCATTCGCTTCCATCTTCTTTGATAATTAATTGATGATAGCAGCCTGGAGAGAGCATGAATTAAAAGGCAAAACCCTAGCTCCAGCAAATCTTTCACAGGAATTGGGTAAGATGTAGGGAATCAAACACCCACCCAAAACAAAGCAAACATTCCGGGTGGCACCAGAAATATCTGTGCCTGTGAGGAAATGAAGCAGCCGCGTGGTGGCTGGGTAGTCCCAGCTTAAGGTTTTGATCGCCCATGCGACATCCCAGACTGCCAAACCATATGAATTTTTACCGAATGCCCCCAGTGAACCCAAAGCAAAACCAAACAAAAAGCAACAAAAACACAAACAGAAACCAACCACAAGAAAGTGAGGAGGCACCCGGTACCAGCTATCTATTCCGCAAGTCTCTACACTGGCAAGCGGCCTTCATGGCTGAGCGAATTCTTCCAGCGATGCTTTCAATCCAGCCAGGATCTATTTTAATATATTTTAATACTATATATAATCTTTATTTATTACACAGACATAAATTTAAGGACCCCCGCATCCTCCAACGACCAGACCAAAGGAACTCCGAGCAAAAGATCCACGGCTTCATCCTCCCAGTCTTCCACACCTGCGCTATCCCTGATGAACATCGAAATAACTTGGAGTTATGGATGGATTTATGGACTGATTTATGGATGTTCATCCTCCCCTATGGTAATGTAATGTAATGTAAATCCATATAGGATCTTTTTATAGGTATTCACCTCTCCTCAATTGTTGAAATCTTCTCAACAGGGGATAGAACATGATAGGAATACTCGAAATCACCATCCACTTTGGGTACTTTTTTGACGCAAGTCGTCGCCACCCACAGGCAAACGGCCAACAAACTCGGACGAAATCACATCAAAACATCGAATTCATCTAATTTCAAGGTAGAAACATGCAAGCATTTGCAGCATTGAAATTCATTGAATTGAGGCATGACAAACATCACGCCTTCGCTAGCAAAACTATTCATATTCCCATGTCTTGTGCAGAACTGAATCAGAAGGAACTTTGCCGAAAAAACTTTGCCTGACCCAGCTGCCACATTGATCAAATTGCTTCAGCACACGGCCGTTTCACGATTCTCCTGGTAGAAACTGGTCATTTCTGGTCGATTTTCTCAAGGCGGAAGAGCCAAATGAACGTTGACACATTTTCTCGAAAGCGCCGAAAGCGTCGTACGGTCCACATCCTGCGATTTTCATGTGGGCACCGTTTCAAAGTAGCCCTACAACAAACATCAGGGAAATCACCAGAACCAAGTTCGCTTATAGATGTCTGTAAAGAACATTAAAGAACTGTGAATTAGAATATTGTTTGGAATCTCAATTGGTTGTCATTGTGAGATCGTTCCCTTT